ATTTCAGTTGACCACTCTTTTAAGTTTCTTTATTTCTTTCTCTCATGAGAGAGAAACCACAACCCTAACAAGATTCTTACACTGCAGTACACCCTGCCTCAGGCAGCTCAGTTTATGTATCCTATATGTACAGGGGGCCTTGAAATACAAACCTGGGACCTTCTCATGTGGGTCCAGTTGGGTTACTACTGCACCAGCATTTGGACCTTCACCATTTATTCTTTTTTTTTTTTGGAAGTTTTTTGCTATAGAGCGCGTGCGCTCGCCATATAGACAGAGACAGACAGAGAGACAGAAAGCGAGAAATCACCCCCCAGGGGGGTGGCCACGCTGCAATCCCTTCTCCTCCATTCTCCTCTCGGGATCTTGGGCACGCACGCACACGCACCCAGCGTGAGTTTAAAGCCACCGGGTCCGGGACGCAAACCACGGTCGACTACATGGAAGTCCAGCGACATAGCCATTACACTAACTACTGGTCCCACCATTTATTCTTGAAATACTATTTCCTAGGTTCTATTATGCCTCATTCTCTTGTCCCTTCCCACTATCTGGCAGCTACCATCTCAGGCACCTTTACTGGGTTCTTCTCATTGTTCTCCATGGGTTCTAAAACTCAATCATGATCTTCTCTCTCCATACTACACTTTCTCCTGTGGCAAGCTCACCCATTCCCATAGCTTTTAAACCAATGTTCATACCTGAGAGCACATATATGTATACTTCCAGCCTCTGTTCTGCATTCCAGATTTCTATAGTCGCCTTGATCTTTGACATCTCTATGTGGATATCTCATAAGAATCTCAACTCTAATGCACCCAAACCTAAATGCTTGGTCTTATCCCATAAGCTTGTTCTTCCTCCACTCCTTTTTATCTCCTTTCACATAATACCTCAATCCAGAAATCAATTCATCTCTGGCATACCTTTTCCAGAAGGTATGCATACTTCAATTTCCAATTTATTACCCAGTTCTGAAAATTCTGTCTCTAAAACATGTCTTAAAACCATCCACTTCTCTCTTTTACTACTTTCATCATCCTAAATCCATCTTAATCCTTAAATATCAAATCCTAGAACTAACTTATTAACTGGTCTATTCTTCTCCCATATTCTATCCTCCAATTAATCCCAAAGGGTTCTTTTAAAAAAAAAAAAAAAAAGGTTTTTGCCATAGGGTGTGTACACTTACTTGAGAGAGAGACAGAGAGACACAGTGAGAGGGAAAGCAAGAAGTCACCCCCCCAGGGAGATAGGCACACCATAAACCCTTTCCTCCATTCTTCTAGGATTTGGGGCATGCAGTGTGATTTTCAAGCTACCGGGTCTAGAGACAAACTAAGGTTGGCCATGTGGGAATTTAGCACCTTAACTACTACAATACTTGCTGACCCTCCAAAGGATCCTTTTAAAATATTAATTTATAAATGTCACTCTCCTGGTTAAAATTCACCAATAGCTTCTCACTGTACTTGGGGTAAAATTCTCACTCTGTAACCTGGCCTTTGATCTGTTCCCTACAATTTTTTGCATATTCAGAGCCACTTTCTCATCTAGCCTCCTTTTGCTCTCTGAACTCCAATTATACTGGCTTTCTTTTAGAATCTGGAATATGTCAAAATTTTACCCCACCTAAAACTCTCTCCTACTCTTCATTTGGATAACTTCTATTCATCCTTCAGGTTTCAACTTAAATATCATTTCCTTAGAATTGCACTCCCATTGTGGCCCAATTTTACTTAGGTCTCTGCTATTTCCTCTCATGACATTCTATTCTTTTCCTTCACAGTACTTAACAGAAGCTCTATTTATCAATACTCTTCTTTCTGCTTCCTACTCCCAGAGGACTCCCCTCTTATTGGCAGCTTTAAGAAGAAAGGATGGTTCATTTACAGCAGGAGGTTGACAAATTCACTACAATCACAACTTCACTCACAAGCACCACCTAGGGAGAGAACTCACATCTGCTAGTCTAAAACCCAGTTCTTGGGACCAGCAGTTAGCATAGTGGCTATGTCACTGGACTCCCATGTGGTTGACCACGGTTCGAGTCCCAGATCTGACAGTTTAAACTCATGCTGGGTGCGTGTGCCTGCATACCCAAGAACCCGAGAAGAGAATGGAGAAGAAGGGATTGAGGTGTGGCCATCCCCACTGGGGGGTGATTTCTCACTTTCTTTCTATCTCTCTCTGTCTTTCTGGTGAGCACACATGCTTTATAGCAAAAACCTCTCCAAATAAAATAAAATAAAATAAAATAAAACCCAGTCCTTGCAGTAATACTCAGAGGCACAAGAGATGGAGCAAGGGACCAGCAGTTAGTGTAATGGCTATGTTGCTGGACTCCCACGTAGTCGACCGTGGTTCAAGTCCCAGACCCAGTGGCTTAAACTCACGCTGGGCACGTATGTGTGCGTGCTCCAGATCCTGAGAGGAGAATGGAGGAGAAGGGATTGCGGCATGGCCATCCCCCCCGGGGGGGGGTTACTTTCTTTCTATCTCTCTGTCTCTCTCTGTCTATCTGGTGAGCGCACGTGCCCTAAAGCAAAAACCTCTCCAAAAAAAGAAAAAAAAAAAAAAGATGGAGCAACATAAATCTAATTGTATCAATTTATTTTGGCTAACTGAAGATCAAGTCAGTAGGGTCTACAGTATCCCAAAGTTCTCAACAAAAACATCTGAGATTGTGTAGTCACATAAAGCCAAAAGAAAAAAAAATCCTTTTCATTCTTTTTGGCTTTATCTAAAACCTTCCTTCCCCAAATTAGATTTTCTTTTTTTTTCTCTTTTTTTTTTTGAGAGGTTTTTGCTATAGGGCACATGCACTTGCTGGAGAGACAGAGACAGAAAGCGAGAAATCACCCCCCAGGGGGGATGGCCACACCACAATCCCTTCTACTCCCTTCTCCTCGCAGGATGTTGGGCACATGCACGCATACACATGCGCCCAGTGTGAGTTTAAGCCACCAGGTCCGGGACTCGAACCACGGTGGACTACATGGGAGTCCGGTGACATAGCCATTACGCTAACTGCTGGTCCCTAGACTTACAACGCTAACTGCTGGTCCCTAGACTTACATTTCAATCTCCTATATTATCATGTCATCATATCAGGAAAAATGGTTTATTGAACTTTATTTGCGACCTGTACAGTCTTTCTATGGTTTTCTCCACGTCTGAAGGGACTTCAGAAAGGTAATGAAAAAAAGAAAATATAAAATACATGTTTAGGGACCGACAGGTGGCATGGTGGTTAAGGGTACTGGATTCCCACATGGCTGACCACGGTTCAAATCCCAGACCTGGCAGCTTGCTTTCTCACTTTCTCTCTCCCTCTCTCTCTCTCTGGTCAAACTGAAATAAACGAATGAATAAATAAATAAATAAGTTAAATTAAAAAAAATAACAAAATAATAAAATAAAATAATTGTTTATGTTGTTACAAAAAATTTTGAAATCCATCTGTAGTATTTTCATAAAATGTATTTTCCATGAAGTTTCTGAAGTCCCCTCATATATGTAAGCCATATTATGTTCCTACAATCAAAATGATATGTCTATATATACACTTATTAGAGACTAGATTTTTATTCTACTGTTCCTTTTATTTTGGGTTCTGTTTTACTGTATTTATTTTTGTACAAACCTGCGTGCCCTTAAATTGCTGTCTACTGGGGCCGGCAAGTGGCGTGGTGATTAAAGGCACTGGATTCCCACATGGCTGACCATGGTTCGAGTCCTGGGCCTGGTGGCTTGCTTTCGTGCTTTCCCTTTCTCTCTCTGCCTCTGTCTGGTCAAATGAAATAATAATAATAATAACAAATGGAAATAAATAAATACTTATTTTTTTTAATTGCTGTCTACTTATTTATTGAATTTTTTAAAATATTAATATTGGGTCATCAGACAAGTCGTATTCTTTCTGTTTTTCTATGCAAAAATGCATCATGACTTTTCCAACAACCGAACAGATTGCATGATCTATTTTCTCTGTTTTTTAAAAAAATTTAATTTTTAAAAATTGTATTTATTTATTTATTATTCTTTAATTCACCAGAGAGGGACAGAGAAAGAGAGAAGGAAAGAAAGAAAGAAAGCCACCGGGTCTGGGACTCAAATCATGGTCAGGCATGTAGGAGTCAATTGCCTTAACCATCATGCCACCTGTTAATCGTTCTGTCTTTTTTATCATGAAATTTTCCAATATCACCTTGACTAGCTCATCAAATATGTTTGTTTACATCTAAACAGTCTCTCTACAATGAATGCATGTACTCTATAGCAAGTTTTTTATTATTTTTTAAAGAATTATATTTTACTTAACTTTACTTATTAGTAGTATTATTTTCCAGTTCGAACAGAGAGAGAGAGAGAGAGAGAAAGCAAGCCACCAGGTCTGGGAGTTGAGCCATCATTGGCCATGTGAGAGTCCAGCCCCTTTAACCACCATGGCACCTGCTGGCCCCTATATAGCAAATTTTTAAAACAACGCACAAAATAAACAAATCCCTAGAACATAGTAGGGACACAATAACTAAGGTGTTAATAACTGAATGAATGGGCTAGCTCAATGATACAGCCATAATGTACTGCTCAAGAAAAGCCCAATCCCACATGGCAATCACAATTCAAATTCCCAACGTGGTTAGCCTGCAACCTGCTGGGCATGTGTGTAAGTATCCAAGGTCTGACAAGCTGGTGAAATGGGAGAAGAGGATCACAGCATTATCAGACCCTGTGGAGGGTGATAATCTCTCTTTTCTCTCCCCGCCCCCACCTCACTCTCACATGTGAAGACATGCTCTATCATGACTATTGAAAAAATAACTCAAATGAATGAAATCTTTCTCTCTTCCCCAGCTGCATATCTTATAAAAAGCAGCTGTGAGAGGTAAATCTTCTCTTTGTAGAGTTTCCTCTAACATTCTAACCCATTGCCTCTTTCCTCTAATCTCAAATTTTTAGAACAAGTAGGTTTTTCCAACTATGAATGAACTCACCAAAACCACTTTTCTTTCCTTTTTGCTGGTGTCTGATCTGAGAATGACTGTGAACCATTTTCTTTGATTGATCTTTTTGTTTATGCTCATGTCCACCTTGGGCTTTCTCCATTTTCTCATTTTCTGAGAAGATAAACAAAACATTGTCGGGTAGAAAAGAGAGAAGAGAATTTTTTTTTTTTTTTGAGAGGTTTTCCCTATAGGGCGCGTGCGCTCGCCAGAAAGACAGAGAGACAGAGACAGAAAGTGAGAAATCACCCCCCGGGGGGGATGGTTACGCCGCAATCTCTTCTCCTCCATTCTCCTCTTGGGATCTTGGGCACGCACGCACACGCGCCTGGTGTGAGTTTTAAGCCACCGGGTCTGGGACGTGAACTGCGGTCAACTACGTGGGAGTCCAGCGACATAGCCATTACGCTAACTGCTGGTTCACGAGAGAAGAGAATCTTCACAGACAGTAAAGGTCAGTTAAAGAAGGAAGAAGTTTGTGGGGGTTTTTTTGTTTTTTTTTGGGGGGGAGAGGTTTTTGCTATAGAGTGCGCGTGCTCACCAGACAGACAGAGAGAGACAGAGAGACAGCGAGAAATCACCCCCCAGGGGGGATGGCCATGCCTCAATCCCTTCTCGGGATCTTGGACGGTCAACTATGTGGGAGTCCAGCGACATAGCCATTACGCCAACTGCTGGTCCTAAGAAGGAAGAAGTTTTTAGCCTAGTAGTATCGAGTCTTGAGCTAAAAATCCTCAGCCTAATGTCCTGAAATATATAAGCTAGACTTCAAAGTATTTGTCGCTATACTTACGAGCTTCTTTATTTCTTTTGCTTAAGGAAAGTCTATTGAATTTCTTCACAACGGCTGTAGGGTCTGGCTGGCCTGGCTTAGATGTCTTTATCTCAGAGACAACTTTATCTTCCTGAGAGACCAAAATCTCTGGAGAATTATGCACCATTATCCTCTCTCTGAAAATTAGATTTTTTTTTTTTAGTAAAAAAGTAAAAAGAAGCAATATGCAATACAATGATTTTGAAAGACCCTAAAGATGAAAGACAGAAAAATTCTAGACTCTCTAAATCCTTCTCCTGAGGTGATTTAATCTATCTACTTGCCTATTTTTCCCAACTTGGATAGGTATCTTTCTTTTTTTTTTTTCCTCCTTTTTTTTTTTTTTTGTTTTTGAGAGATTTTCACTGTAGGGCACGTGCGCTCGCCAGACATACAGAGGGAGACATAGAGACAGAAAGCGAGAAATCCCCCTCCAGGGGGGATGGTCACGCCGCAATCCCTTCTCCTCCATTCTCCTCTCGGGATCTTGGGCATGCACGCACACGCGCCCGGCGTGAGTTTTAAGCCACCGGGTCCGGGACACGAACCACAGTCGACTACGTGGGAGTCCAGCGACATAGCCATTACGCTAACTGCTGGTTCCCGATAGGTATCTTTCTTGAACTGAGAGAAAACTACAGAAATACAAAAGATGACTAGATAGACAGAGATCACCATTTACCAATGTTAAATCCACACTGTGTTCAATTTCCCTCATTGTAATATAATAAACTTACTCATCAGCATTATCCTTATCAGTAGCAGAAGTGATTCCAGGTTGCTTGTCTGATGGGGTATGTGTTACAGGCTGGGCATAAGAAGTCTCTACAAAATCAAGGGAAGATCCCATCCCTCCCAAAACAAAATAATATAAGCAGAAAAACAATAGAAGATACTCCACTACCTTTGGCTCTTGTCATATCATAGAACTTAAATCTTCACATTTTCAGGAAAATCTACAAATCTATATTTTTCTTCAAGCCTTTCTAGATTGATCTGCCTCACTCCAAGACAGATAATTTTATTTTGTATACATAAGAAATTATAAGCACTGTATATCATTTGTTTCTCAAACTCCCTCTAGGAATAGATGTATATCTAAGAATGGCTAAAATGTCAAACCATTCTCTCTAGCCTCATCACCTTATTGAGAAGGCCTCAGAGCCTTCACTGCTTTTTATTCCAAAATTCAAATCCTTGAGCATATTCAAAAACAATTTTAAAAACAGAGATATGTAAGTATAGAAGACTAAGTTCTTCAAATCTGGGAAAAACAATTTGTCTTTTCTAAGTTGATTATAAACATATAGATGCATATTTAAATTGCATTTAAAAAATTTAGGTATGGGGACCAGCAGGTGGCGTAATTGTTATGTCACTGGATTCTCACATAGTCAACTGTAGTTCAAGTCCCAGACCCAGAGGCTTAAAACTCATGCCAGGTTGGGACCAGCAGGTGGCACAGTAGTTAAGGGCACTGGATTCCCACATGGACAACCGTTGTTCGAGTCTTGGACCTCCCTGGTGTCTTGCTTTCTTACTTTCTCTCTCTCTTGCTCTGTCCCTCTCAAATTAAAACAAAATAAATAAAGTTAAAATAATTCTTAAAAAAAAAAAAAAAAAAAAAAACCTCACACCAGGCCCATGTGCAAACATGACTAAAATTCTGAGAGGAGAATGGAGAAGGGATTGCGACATGGTCATCCCCCCTGGAGGGTGATTTCTTGCTTTCTGTTTCTCTACATCTCTCTGGCGAGCATGTGTGCCCTGTAGCAAATATCTCTCTCAAAAAATAAATAAATAAATAAATAAAATAAAAATTTAAGTATGACTAAACTTAAATTTAGAAGTAAATGCAATCTCCTTTCTAAGCCTGTATCCTTTAACTGAGGTGGTTAAGGTACTATCGACAGAAGACAAAGTATTTTAATATATTTCTAAGTTTCATCTACTACTACCTTACCTAGGAAGACGAAAAAGAAAAAAAGCTATCAAACTTGTTATACCCCTCAGATAACATTCACTTTGCCTAATTGAAACTCTTTTTCTCGTACTACATGCCATACCCAAGCACTCCTGGAGGGACTTCTGTAGCACAATCTGGACAATCTCCTCAAATTCTGCATTGGTAAGACTTGATTTTTCCTACAGAGACAAGGGTAGGGGAAGAAAACTGCTGATCTTTCCATAGTTTTCCCTTCCAACCAGTTGGGGAAACCATAAGTTCCTAAGACTGAACACATGAAGTCAACAAACATAAGGAGTCTATAAACTCTATCTCAGATTTCCTACAAATAAAGAAGTCAAAAGAAAAAGGTTTATAAAGTTTCTGTCCACTTCTACTCCCACCTCCATCCCATTATTTCCTGTTAAATACATTCATTAAAACATTTTGAGAGGGGCCTCACAGAGGTGCAGCAGTAACACAACCGAAAACACATGGGAAGGTCTCAGGTATAATCTACAACACATGAGTTGCACAAGTGTATGGGTGATCCAGGCTGGCTAGGGGTGGATTGCATCTTGAAGACCCTATTGGGTACTTGTCTCTCTTTCTCTTGTGGAAGAAATAAATTTTTAAAAATCAAAATAATTTTGTATTCTTTAAAAAGAAAATCGAAGCCTTCAAAAAGGAATAAAAATCTAAAACTACAGAAGTAATTTCCCCAACATGAAAATTTTGTTTATCTAGCCTGGGAGGGGGGACAGGGGTAGGAGAAAGTGTCTTACTAGGCTCATTGATGTGACTGATACCTTTTCTTTCTTCTGTGCTTGCTTGTTGTCTTCAGTCTTTCCTTTTTTCTCCTGGTCATTGCTTGGACCATTCTCTGTAGTTGCTTTATCCTTCTTCTCTAGCCTGCCCTCTGTCCCTGGAAAACTGATACCCAGGGTCTCCTCCTTGGCTGCATTAGGGCTACAAAGTACCAAGCTATGCTTTTTTTGTGCAGGTGGGGCAAAGGTTTTCTTTGATCCCTTTCCACATTCTGAAATAAATTTGATCATTAAATGGAATTTGTGAAACATGTAGTTTAATGGAGATTGCCAAGCATTGCTCATTGACTAGCCATATAAAAACTAAATGAAGGGGCTGGCAGGTGGCATAGTGGTTAAGGGCTCTGGACTCCCACATGGCCAACCATGGTTCAAGTCCCGGATCTGGTGGCTTGCTTTCGCCCTCTCTCTCTGTCCCTCTCTGATCAAATTAAAATAAATAAAGTTAAATAAAATAATTCTTAAAAAAAAAAAAACTAAATGGAGATTGTTGCTGACAGGTGGCATGGTGGTTAAGGGCACTAGACTCCCACATGGCTGACCATGATTTGACTACTGGACCAGGCAGCTTACTTTCTCACTTTCACAATCTCCCTCTCTCTCACTCTGTCCCCCTCTGGTCAAATTAAAATAAACAAATAAATAAAATTAAATAAAAAACAATTCTTTAAAAAATAATTAAAAAACTAAATGGAGAAAGAAATTAGATTTCTAGGTCTCCCCACCGACTCTACCCCACAGCCCTAAGATTCCCATGAAGTAGTCTGGGGTCAGGCCCAGACATCTGTGATTTTACAAGGCTAATTGATTCTGATACATTGACAGGTTTGGGAGTTACTGACTAATTCAAAGGTGATAAATACAAGCATGCTGGAAGCTGAATTATTCAAATGTAAATTTTTTAATGTGCTCATTTTAACTTTGGATAAAACTTCATGGGATATTAGAGGGAAAAAAACTAGTTGAGGTGTATGGGAGGGGCTTAGGAAAAAAACATTTAAAATAAGACACAAGAATGCATGCAGACAGGGTAAATGGATTGTGGAATGGCATAACACAACAAAATAAACAAAAAGGGATGTTGTCAACCATAGATAGATAGATAGATAGATAGATAAATAGATAGATAGATAGATAAATAGGTATAGATAAATCAATACATCTATATCTACATATATAGAGAGAGAAAGAGAGAAACTAGTAGAGCAAAAACTGAAAGTATACATCTCAATGTGGTGTTCTTTGTTGAAAACAATGAATATATGGCAACATCCTTGATTTGATTATCACATGCTGCATGCACACTTTGAAAAATCCATATGGTGAGATGGATTAGCCAATGGCTTAGCAGTTACTTTGCTGATCTCCCACATGGCCAACCATAGTTCAAGTCCCAGACCTAGTGACTTGAAACTCATGCCAGGTATGTGTGCTTGCGTGCCCAAGATCCTGGCTGGGAGGAGAAGGGATTGCAGCATGGCTATCCCCCCTGGGGGGTAATTTCTCACTTTCCCTCTGTCTCTCTGGTGAGTGCATGTGTCCTAAGGCAAAAATATCTCAAAAAGAAAATCCATATGGTACACCACAAAGATGTACAACAATTAAATGTAAGTAAGAAATTATTTTTAAATTAAAAAATTGTTGAAATATTTTTGCTATAGGGCATGCACACTTGCCAGAGAGTCCGAGAGAGACAGAAAACAAGAAATAATTTCCTGGGGTGATGGCCACACTACAATCCCTTCTCCTCTGTTCTCCTCTTGGCATTTTGGACATGCACGCACACATGCCCAGCATGAGTTTTACGCCATTGGGTCTAGGACTCAAACCACAGTCACCTACATGGAAGTCCAGCAGTGTAACCATTATGCCATCTGCTCGTCTCTAAAATTTAAATTTTTAAACAAAACAAAAAACTAGTTAAAATGTATAAATACTTAAGGCCCAGCTCTAATGCTACCTCCTCAGTGAAAATTATACTGTTCTTTTCAAGTGTTAAATAATAACTCTTTCTTCTGCGATTCCATAATATTTAGCACAATCTCTGGTGGCACTTACCACATTCTATTTTATGTTATTATGTTATAGACACTTCAGTGTCTTTTCTCTCCCTATGAATTCACACATTCCTTGAGCAGGATTGTTTCTGATTCATATTTATTCTGTTCAAAGCACCTAGCAGAGTAGTAATTTGAATACACTGGATATAAAATATATGTCAATGGAACTGTTCTCTGATGGGAAGACTATTCAGAAGTGGAAAATTAGAGAAATGTAAAAAGTGAACTTCCTGGGGCCAGCAGATGGTGTAAAGGTTAAGGCAGCTGGATCCCAAAGGGCCAACTATGCTGTTTGGGTTCCAGACCCAGCATCTTGGAAAACACACCAGGCTTGTGAGTGTACATGCCCAGAATCCCAAAAGGAAAATGGAGAAGGGACTACGACCTGGTCATCCCCCCTAGAGGGAAATTCTCACTTTCCCTCTCTCTGTTTCTAGTGAGTGCATGCAGCCTAAAAAAAAAAAAAAAGTAAACCTCTCTCACTCCTGACTCACCTTTATTCTGCAATGTTGTCATCATTCAGCTCAGAAACTACACTTTCTTCACCTCTGTTAGAAAAAAGAAATAGACTGCTATGATTCTGATTAAACATGACTTTTACTTTCTTTTCTCCCTGTTCCTTGGGTTCAAGATCTCTTGGGTTCAAGACCTCTGAATTACTGTTCTGTCTTCTTGACTACACTTGTTTCTTCAACAGGCCAATTACATGTCAAGGAATAAAGAAAACAACCGTTTTAAAGATTAGCAACAACCTTATTTTAAAAAGAGAGAGAGAGAGAGATTACCAATAATCCTTAGTGTTTTAAGTACCTAGAACCAATATAAGGCAGACACAAATTATCAGGTGGAAATGGTAATGGTATAACAGAAGCATAGGTACTAGTAGTACTGTAGTGGTTGTAAGATATGAACAACCATACCTTCTCCTAGGAGTTAAAGAATGAGAATTTTCTTCAGGTGAATAATGTCTTTTTCACAAAATTCTTCCACATACTTTTTTTTTAAGAGAGATTTTTGCTATAGGGCATGTGCACTCACTAGAGAGACAGAGAGAGGTAGAGAGACAAAAAGCAAGAAACCATCCCTCCCCACTCCACGACCCCCCCGCACACTGCAATACCCTCTCCATTTTCCTTTCAGGATTTTGGGCACACATGCACACGGGCTGGTGTGAGTTTCAAGTTGTCAGTTTTGGGACTCAAACTGCAGTTGGCCATGTAAGAGACCAGCACCTTAACCACCATACCATCTGCTAGCCCCTCTCTCACATACTTGTCACACAATTTGGTAATTCTCTGACCTAATTCAGTTTCCTATGCATAAATAATTCCTTTTTAAACATCATTATAATGTTTTTTCTTTACTTAAATCTTTAGTCCGATTTCCAATGCAGCACTCCTCCCCTTATCTATGGTTTCACTCACTTTCCACGGTTTCATTTATCTATAGTCAACTCTAGTCTGAAAATAAGTGAGCATAATACAATTAGATATTTTGATAGAGAAAGAGAGAAGCCTCGTCCATACAACTTTTATTACAATACATTGTTATAATTATTTTGTTAATTAGTTTTTCTAATAAGCTTATACTTAAAAAAAATTTATTATTATTTTTTAATTTGACCAGAGAGAGACAGAAACTTAGAAAGAGAAAGTGAGAAAGCAAGCCACGAGATCTGGGAGTTGAACCGTAGTCAGCCACGTGAGAGTCCAGCAACCCAACAACCATGCCATTTGCCAGCCCCAAGCTTGTACTTTTTTTGAGAGGTTTTTGCTATAGGGTGCGTGTGCTCGCCAGAAAGACAGAGATGGAGAGAGACAGAAAGAGAGAAATCATCCCCCAGGAGGGATGGCCATGACACAATCCCTTCTCCTCCATTCTCCTCTCGGGATCTTGGGCACACATGCACACCCACCTGACTGAGTTTTGAGCCACCGGGTCCAGGGCTCGAAACTCAGTCGGCTACATGGGAATCCAGCTACCTAGCCATTATGCCAACTGCTAGCTCCGCAAGCTTGTACTTTTAAAAAAAATATGCCGGGACCAGCAGTTAGCATAATGGCTATGTCGCTGGACTCCCACATAGTCGACCACGGTTCGAATCCCGGACCCAGTGGCTTAAACTCATGCCGGGCGCATGTGCGTGCGTTCCCGAGATCCCGAGAGGAGAATGGAGGAGAAGGGATTGTGGCATGGCCATCCCCCCTGGGGGGTGATTTCCTGCTTTCTGTCTCTCTGTCTGTCTCTGTCTGTCTGGCAAGCGCACATGTCCCATAGCAAAAACCTCTCCAAAATAAACAAATAAATAAAATAAAAAATAAATAAAAAAATATGCCAAAAGGTGCATGTGCTCTCCAGAGAGAGAGAGGAAAAGAGAAAGAAAGAAAGCATCCATCCTGGGGGGCTGACCATGCCATAATCCCTTCTCCTCCATTCTCCTCTTGGAATTTTGGAGAGCACTCACACATACTTGGTGTGTCTTTCAAGCCATGAGGTCCAGGACTCAAACTGTAGGTAGACAGCCATGTGGGATCCAGCACATTAACCAACAAACCACTGGCTGGCCCCATTAGTTACTAATTTATTACTGTGCCTAATTTATAAATTAAACTTTATCGTGTGTGTGTGTATGTGTGTGTGTGTGTGTGTATATAT